CTCGAAAGGCGCCGGGTCCAGCCGCCCTTTCGCGCCCCTTTGCCCGTGTCCCGCCTCAGGGAGCCCGTCTTCACCCTTCAAAGGTCCCCGCTGCCGAGTTTGCTCCGTGCTAGCACGGGGGAACCTTCACGGGGGTGTTGGTGAGCCGTGTGCCCCTCAGAGCTTTTGGGAGAGGTTTGCCTGGCTGGTGTGTAAGTAAATGGCAGTGAAGCACCGATCCCTGTGTAATGCTGGAAAACAGTTATTAGTTCAGTTTATTTTGTGTATTAGTAATGCATGTGATTTGAACACTGACACTTCAGGCAGCTTGATGTAATCCTCACGAGATTAAAAAATATAATGTAGGACATTGTGTTTTTCACTTTAGATCTAATTTAATACAGAGAATTTCATGCAGTACTGTGTGACAGCTTATGGTCTGGCTGTCTTTGAAGGCTTCCCAGAACTTGGGCCCTATGATAATATGTTTTAAAATACCTAAAGCTTGTTTCTATGTTCTGGATTTTCTAAAGCCTGCATTTTTATATTTACTTTCTTTAATGTGCTTCCTTTTTGTTTACTTTAGTGGTAGAATAAGAGCTTTGGAGAGGAATAAGCTCACTAAGAAGACTTTAGAGCTTGCACAGCAGTACTTCTTGCCTCCATACTCTTTCCAGATTCGAGTTGGTGCTCTGTACCTTTTGTATGGGCTCTATAGTACACAGCTTTGTCAGCCAAAACAAAAGGTAATTGTTCTTGAGGTTTTATTCTCAAGCGATATTAGATGTAAGATATATGGTATACTTCTGTCTACTTTGTCATTATAAATGGGTAGGGCATTTCCTCACAGTTTCTTAGAATAAAAATATTTAGAACCAGAGGGTTCCTTTGGAAAAAGTAGCCTAGGTTTGAGAAATTATGTGCCGGTGACTAAAATGCTGCTTATGCCTCCTAAATTGTAGCTGTGGTCTCAGAAATATTGTTTGCCAGATAGAAAGCTCTTCTCTCTTCAAAACTGAAGACTACCTTTAAATAGGAACAGAGAATATGCTGATCAGCTGTGGGGAGATATCCATTACAGCCCCAGTTATTCCTTAGAATTTCAACACAATGAAGATTGGCTGAATTATTTCCAGTTCATGTTAACCAGAAGTGGAAGTGGAATTTGTAAATTGAAAGGGTGAATGCCTGAATTACATGTCTCCTTGCTGCTTCTAGGACAGGATACCAGTGTATAAAGGAGTTGGAAACTCAGTGCAAGAAGTGGTTTACTTGAAAACTGTATGATGTATATTGTGTGCACATGCACAATTGAATCCAAATTCTTTAAATAAGAAACTGAAGTTTAAGTATTCTGCAGTGATACTATTGCATCTCATATCTTAACTTCAAGGAAGTCAATACCTTTTTGGAGATGGATTTAGGGAATTTTAAAACCACTGCTATACAGCAATTGTTAGAGAGTCCAGGAATTTTCAAAGAAGCTAACTTAGGTAGGGAGAAGAGGAAGTGGACAGAGTACATGGGAGAGGAAGGACAGCAAGAAGATACAGATACTTTTACGAGCGTTTCAGTGGCAGCAAATCATGGTACGAGTATTGAGTCTTAATCATCTAGTGAATGCGAGTCTCCTAGGTGTGTTGTTTCAGGCATCTCGGAATGTGAAGAGTTAATTTTTTCAACTGTCAAAGAGGGCTCATGTTCCATGTCGCTGTGAAAGAAAGTAACTGCAGTAAGAATATTTAACACAACAGTATAATAAGCCTATCTGCGTAAAATTTTCATAGTAGTAACAAATGTTATAGTAGGATCCTTTCTGTAGTTCTGTGATTGTGTGACGTGTTACACCCTAGACGTCCAAGTATTGTGAATAGTATAACATGGTCACAGTAGTCAGCTGAATCAATTTTTTATTTGTTGAAATATGCAGGTCGGTATGACCTGCATATATACATAATATACAACTGTTTTTTTGCAGATCAGAATTGCACTCAAGGATTGGCCTGAAATCCAGAAATTTCAACAGGATCTGATAGACTCCCAGCATTATGACGCAGCATACATCTTTAGGACGCTGCGACTTGCCAGAGCATTCCATTTCACAGCAATGCCAAAGCTAGTGAGTTGTTAAATTAATGACTTACCATTTTTAATAAAATATCTTCAGCTTTCAATGGCTAACAGTTCAACAGTTCATGGTTTTAGTTTAGCTTTGAGGCTGTGTTGAAATGTAGTATGTCTTGCCTTATGTAGCTAGGTATGTGACGTAAAGCTTAGAGGCTGTCTGAATGTAGGATGCTTCTCACCTGAAAATATTTTTTTCAGTATCTAATGTTCTTATTAGATTTGAGATGTCGTATCATTTGTGGAAATGAGTCTGCCTGCTGCATTAAATTCTTGACTGGGGACTAATTTTTGAAAAGTGCTGACTGAGCACTTGACAGTAAAGCTGTGTGCTATTGTTGGTGAGATGTTTCTATACCTTTCAGCATCTCTTGATTATTGGATGTGCAGTAAGAATTTTCAAGAGGAGGTGCCAATTTAAGTTTGCTTTTAGGTTACAAAACACTGTCTCTCGCTTTAGCTAAACTACAGAACTAAGAAGAGGATTCAGGAAAATGAATTTAAAGAAGAATTTAAGGACCCAAGTAACAGAGTAAACAGCCTCATCACTAATGATGTATTGGAGGTACAGTAACTTTTAAACTAGAGATTAATCACTGGGGTTTGTTTTGTTTTTCTTCTTCTGTTGTCTGAGAGCTATAACTTCTCTACTTGCACGGTCTTGTCCTTTATAAATCTTCTTATGGAATGCAGACTAGGATAATAGCCTGTAGTTTTATCAGACACCCAGAAACGCAGCATTTATTTTGGAAGACTTGCGGTACCTTTTTCAATACTGAAATATGCTCTAATGTTTTGTGGTTTTGCCTCAGTAAGATGTAAAAGGGGGAGGGTATAAATGGTTAATTGTCTCTTGGGCAGAGAAAAATGGACAATGTTGGGTGGGGGGGAAGCATGTTTATTTTGATATGTCTGCAGGTTGCAGCTGGAGGCTTGATACTTGTGGTAACATTAATTTACTTATCTGCGCATTAGAGAGGCTTCTCTAACCTTTTCTTCTTTTAAAACTTGGTTCTGTTTGATATATAACACATTTTATAAAAAATGAAGTACTTCAAGCCAGGTATAGGTTCTTATATTGCTCA